ACAGATTCACTGATTTCTAAATTTATTTCATCTTTATGGAATCGAGGGGCATGGTCATTAATATCCTCAACAACCACAATGATATGAAAAATATTTAAAGGATTTTCCACCACGGCTTCCAACTGCAACTCACATCTTCTTCTCTCTTTGCATATCTGCTCACGGTCTATTCGGTCCTTCACCAGTAAGTCCCCGCTCTCCGCATCTACGTTGAAAAGCAGCTTCTCTGTGCTAACTCGCAGCTTCCGAGCCGACACATCCAGGACGCTGAGCCCGAGATCCTTGGCGAGATTCCCCACCACCGAGCCCTTGGCCAGTTCCTCGGGAATGGAGTAGCGGATCGGCTCGCAGAGCGCCGGGTAGAACAAAGGTAGCAGGAAAGGAAACAGTACCTGCAGCCTGCCGGCGGGGCGCCTCTGAACGCAGCTCCCTCCCATTGCGCGCTATAGTTCTCGCTGGGTCCTAGTCTTTCCGGAAAGCTGAAGAAACTGCAATCCACGGGATCACTGGAAGAACATTCCGACCATGACAGGCGGAGCTGGAAATCTGTGTATGTTGGGCAAAGCCTGCGCGGCCAGGAGCCTCAGTGTGTGAGCGGGTTTCCTTCCGTTTGTGTTGGTGACTGAGCAGGAAAACCCAGGCTAGAGGCTGAGGAATCCCGGGCGACAGCACTCGCCCTGTACTGGCCGACAGCGGCGCCCAGAGGCCCCGTGTGGTACCGCAGTCCACATTCAAGAGGATGTTTTCCTCTTGAATCCAATTTTTCTCTAGATTATCTCTAGAATATAAATATTGCTCTTCGAAGCTCCTATATAAATTTCTATAAATTCCCTGTACTCTGAGAAGTGCTCCTGAAGTAGTAGTTTACTTCTGCATTGACCCCCTCATCCTAGTCAGTGGCTGTCACTGCAATAGAGAGGACTTGGAGGCCAATTGTATACATAGAGAAATATATATATAATGATATATTTTTCTCTATATATGTAGAATATGTATACATTGCTATTTGAAAATGCACTTATATAAGAGCCCGAAATTTTAGTTTTACTAAAGTTTTACAATTGTATGTACTTAATGTTTTAAAGAAATTTATTATGCAAAAATTTCAAACTTATTCAAAAGTAGAGAGTATTATTATTGAATCTTCATATACTCATCACCCAATGGCAATAACAATCAACACAAGGCCATCTTCATTCAACATATATATTGTACCCCCTCATTATTTTGAAGCAAATCCAAGATATTTTAACTCTTAAGATGAAACATTAAGATAAGCAAAGATTTTATCCTATTTTGTTATATAAAATGCTACCAATGTAAAAGTCCTATCTCATTTGAGAAAAGTAGAATTCAGCGTTTTCCCCACTCTGCCCAGTTATCCATGCAGTGAGCTTGCAAGTGATATTATTAATGGTAGAGAAAAGTAGTAACCTATCATGATATACAAGCCTTCAGCAATATCTGTATCTTTTCCCAAATTAACGCATCTTTAATATTTATGAATACTAAGTACCAATGGTTATTCCCCAGGACAGAAACTTCAAGTGACAGTTTCCCAAATGCACAGTTAAAAATATGACCCTGGGGGCGCCTGGGTGGCTCAGTCGTTAAGCAGCTGCCTTCGGCTCAGGTCATTATTCCAGAGTCCTGGCATTGAGTCCCACATCGGGCTCCCTGCTCCACGGGAAGCCTGCTTCTCCCTCTCCCACTGCTTGTGTTCCTGCTCTCGCTATCTCTCTCTCTCTCTGTCAAATAAATAAATAAAATCTTTAAAAAAAATGACCTGAAGGATGCTTTAATTTTTTTCTTACTAGCTTAGGAATAGAGTATTTGAAATAATTATGTCTGTATGTCATAATGGCTTTCCAGACTTGTTAACCCTATAGCCAGCGTGTTTAGAATAGAATTTTGAGTCAACTTCAAAGCTTATTTTTAAATTCTCCTGGAGGGGTGCTTGGGTGGCTCAGTTGGTTAAGCCTCCAACTCTTGATTTTGGCTCAGGTCATGATCTCAGTGTCATGATATCCAGACCCCCTTCAGGCTCCGCACTGAGTGCAGAGTCTGCTTAAGATCCTCTCCCCCCTCCCTGTCCCTCCCCTCTTCACTCTCTATCTCAAAAAATAAATAATAATAAAAAAAGTCTCCTGGAATGTCATTTTTTACTTGAAATGACACTATGTTTAAAATCAAATAAAATATTGTTTTCCTTATAGCTAAAAGCCAGTAAAATATTTTTAGAACCTTGTCCAGCAGGTCCTGAGAATATTTTCCTAAATTGTCTCCCTTATTTATTTCTAGCCTGTAGATTGGAGAATTGAGCCATAAATAACAGACAGTTGAGGAATAATTTTTATCTCCCTAGTTTTGTCCTCTCTCAGTGTTCATTCTTAGAAACCCCTTTAAGTGAAGTGTCATTCTTCCTCAACAGTGATCTTTAAATTCAAACAACCTCTACAAACATGTGATCTGAAAAACATAACCTCAAAGGGGTGTTGTCCTATCATAGAAACAGAAAAGCAGAAGCAGAAAAGTCTGGGCTTTTAGTTTCTTCAAGAAGAACAGATGTGTTTTGTCATTAATTTACCTTTACAAAATCAGTATCAGATGTAGTTATGTTGCAGCAGTATGTAAGAAGTTCACAATGGGACCACTGAAGATAACAATAATAAATTTCAGGAATGGAAAACCACCCCTAAGGATTAGTTGTGAACTGATAACCAAGCAAACACACCCAAATACCCATATCAATGCTCAATAATGAGAGCAGCCCCATGAAGGTTTCCATTGACCATAGGTTAATTTGATCATGAGAAAGTGAAAATTATATCAGTGATGTAACCAATAAATGCCTCCTATAATGTTAGAGCAATAATTAGGCCCAGCGAAAACTTGAATGGTGTGAAATACGTTAACATCAGTGTATCACACCTTAAGTGCAAACCTTAAAAAACAGTTATAATAGAAAATAAGGGAAAAATGGAACTCACTGGAACCAAAGTTTCCTATAGGTTTTCTATAGGAAACCTAGAATCATCTGAAACACACAAAGGGTCATTTTTCAGACAGCGCTCCTGGCTAATCAGCACGTTGGCATACTTGGGCTGGGGAAAGATCACATGAGTCTCCCAGGAGTCCGCCGTGAGTGAGGCTTCCTGGAACTAAGTCTGCAGAAAAGCCCACACCCTGTCAACACCCACGGAGTGAGAAGTAGGCACACCAGCTAATCCAACCCCCCCAGCCTGGAGTAGATGTGAGGTGTGCCGACACCACAACCTGAGCACCAGCAACACAACGACAATGGTGAGGAAGATGCAGGAGACTGCAGCCACTGCCACCACGAAGTATTAGGTGGGGTCTGAGGTCTCTGGGTATGCGGGGACCTCCAGATTGTTGAGGTCAGCCAGCACATCTGGAATGCTGTCAGCCAAGGCCACAGTGAGTGTGACAATGGACGAGGGAGGGGGCTGGCCGTGGTCCTGGACCACCACCACCACCAGGCTCTGCTGGAGCCTGTCTCTGTCTAGCAGGGCCTGCACTGAGAAGAGCCCAGGCTCACTGGCTTTGAGCAGGTGGTAGGACAGCCAGGCAATCTGACCTGAGTCTCTGTCTACAGCCACCACCTTGGTGACCAGGTAGCCAGGTTCGGCAGAGTGCACACCAGTGGAAACATCAGTGGGAGGGAGTGGGGTACAGGATTTCTGGCACACTGTCCTTCTGATCCAGCACAAGCAAGTTCAGTGACACATTGCTGCTGAGCAGTTGGTTCCCACTATAGCTTGCCCTCACCTGCATTTGAAGATCATGAAACTGCTCAAAGCCAAAGGAGCACAGAACATATACCAGACCAGTGTCAGAGCTGATGGAGACATAGGAGGAAAGAGGCAACCCTTGGATAGTGTCCTCAGCCAAGGTGTAAATAACACCTGGGTGTTCTCTCCCTGTCGGGGTCATAGGCTGGCACCAAGAAGATGGAGATGCCTCTAAGGTTGTTCTCAGGGAGGTAGACTGAGTAGGAGTTTCCAGAGAAGCTGGGTTATCATTGATGTCTAGGGTGTACGTTGATGTAAATTTCTGTGGACAGGGGTGGCATTCCTCTGTCTGTTGCTGTCACTGTGATGTTATATTCAGAGGTTTCTTCCACTGTCAAGAATTTGGACTGTCAACAATCTATAATAATCTATTAACTTTTCCAATTGAAAAGGTAAATTATGAGGTGTGTTACAGACAACTTGACCATTCTTCCCGGAGTCTCGGTCATGCACATTCAAGAAGGCAATTACTGTTCCAGGAAGAGTATTTTCCAAGACTGGGCTAAACAGAGATGTAATGATCACTTCCGGTCTATTGTCATTCACATCTTCCACTGAAATGAGCACTTTGGTCCTCCCCAAAAGTGCCCCCACATCTTCAGCTTGTATTTCCATTTCATAAAATGCACATTCTTCATAGTCTAGACTCTCTGCCGTTGATATTTCCCCAGTATTTTCATTCAGCTGGAATAGCGGAGACTGCTTTTCACTAATTTTCCAGAATCTATAGGCTACTTCTCCGTTGGCTCCCTCATCCCGGTCGCTAGCGCTCACAGTAAGCAGCCGGGTGCCCGGGGGCACGTTCTCTGGGACTTTCACTTGGTAAATCGGTAGAGCAAAAACCGGGGCATTGTCGTTTGTATCCAGCACTGTCACATGGATGTGCACTGTGCTGGAGCAATGCGGGTCACCGCTGTCTGAGGCGATGAGGACCAGGCGGTGAGCAGCCTCTTCCTCGCAGTCCAGGGCCTTCTCCAGCACCAGCTCTGGGTGTAGAGTTCCGTCGCCTCCAGTTTGCACGTCCAGGGAGAAGTGGTGATTGGGGCTGAGCTGGTAGCTCCTCAAGGAATTCATGCCCACGTCCGGGTCAACAGCCTCTGGGAGCAGATAACGTGTTCCAGGTGCAGCAATTTCATTAATTTTTACTTCCAGATTCTCAGCCTGGAATTCTGGTGCACTGTCATTTATATCAGTTACTTCTACTTCCATTCCGTAAAGTTTTACTCTTCCACCAGGACTTCAAAGATTTTTTTTTCATTTATTTATATGACAGAGAGACACAGCAAGAGAGGGAATACAAGCAGGGGGAGTGGGAGAGGGAGAAGCAGGTTTCCTGCAGAGCAGGGAACCCGATGTGGGGCTCGATCCCAGGACCCTGGGATTATGACCTGAGCTGAAGGCAGACGCTCAATGACTGAGCCACCCAGGCGCCCCCACCAGGACTTCAAAGTTAACCAGACACTGTATGCTCTGAGCACAGAGCTCCTCTCGGTCTATCCTGCCCGCGGTGACCAAACTGCCGCTTAGGGGGTTCAGAGCAAAAAGCTGCGCCCTACCTCTGGAGACAATGCGGACTCCGTGCTCCGCCAGCTCCTGGGGCTCCAGCCCCAGGTCCTTGGAGATATTCTCCCACAATATAGTCTTTTTCTGTCTCTTCAGGCACCAAATAGCGTATCTGGCTGGCCGGGTCTCCCAAAGCCTCCCCAGGAAAAGGCACAGCAGAACCAGGCTTTTGCGGTGCGGGAGATTCAGTGGAGCGGCCATTGTTGCTTCATTATGGATATATTTTTTTTCCGGAATGCTTTCTGTGCAAGTTGACTCCTTAGGTTCTTTTTTCCTCCCTCAAATTACGATGATCTTTTTTCTTAGCAGAAACCGAAGTGCCCCAGGTTAAGAGGGTGAGTTTTGTTGCAGCTTTTGCTACAGTTTGTGGGATCTGTGAGGCTTTGTGTAGTTGCAGATCCTAACATCGGGATAGGATAGAGAGCTGATTGAGCTCTTCTTAGAGCTGGTGAACAGCGAGCTTAGAGTCCTAATCCGTCACTACACCCATTGAGATAATACTTGATTACAGATGACTGAAAAAGAAAATACTCTCTTCTAACCATAATTGTAGACTTGTCTCACTGTTTCTTGCATTCTCATTTCAAAAGCAATTACCATTCTGGATATGTTAGTTGAAAATGAAGTGGAATGAAACTTCTATTAAGTGTACTGTTAAATCGACATTTTTTTCTTTTCTTTTTTTTTTTAAAGATTTTATTTATTTACTTGAGAGAGAGAGATTGAGAGAGACAGCATGAGAGGGGGGAGGATCAGAGGGAGAAGCAGACTTTCTGCTGAGCAGGGAGCCCAATGAGGGACTCTATCCTGGGACCCCAGAATCATGACCTGAGCCAAAAGCAGTCGCTTAACTAACTGAGCCACCGGGCGCCCCTTTTTCTTTTTTTAAGTAGGCTCCACACCCAGCGTAGAGCTCAATGCGGGTCTTGAACTTCCGACGACCCTGAGATCAAGACCTGAGCTGAGATCAAGAGTTGGAGGCTTAACTGACTGAGCCACCAGGTGCCCCTCACTGTTTTTTCTTAATATCAAATTAACTTATTCTTGGTAGAATTTTGCTCTCCTTTTACATATGTAAATTATTCTAATTCCCTTTTTATAATCTTTCAAAATTTTTCTATATGTCATTATTTTCTGAAGTAACTACAGTGTACAATACATATGGATTATTCACTTTGAAATTATTTTATAAGGTTAATTTATGCAGATAGTAAATTTGCTGGAGTAAGTTTTCCTTAAAATTTCACTCACAAAAATAATTTTAATTAGGCAACAGTAATAGATTTTCTCACCTAATATTGCTAAATCTTGAAAGGATTGTTTTTTAAAGTTGCATATTTGTGAATGTTACACTTTTATGCTATTCCGATTTTTTAAAAATTTTCTATGTGAATACATAATGCATACACTGGCTATGGCATTTGGAATATTCAAATAAACACACAATGAAAAGCAAGTTTCCATTTCAGTCCTTCCATAAAGAAATTACGCAGTTTTAAAGTAGTCTTGGGGCGCCTGGGTGGCTCAGTTGTTAAGCGTCTGCCTTCGGCTCAGGTCATGATCCAGGAGTCCTGGGATAGAGCTCCGCATCGGGCTCCCTGCTCAGCAGGAAGCCTGCTTCTCCCTCTCGCATTCTCCCTGCTTGTGTTCCTGCTCTCACTATCTCTCTCTCTCTGTCAAATAAATAAATAAAATATTTTTTAAAAAATAAAGTAGTCTTAAACTTTTTTTTGTAAAGGTCACTTAAACCTCTGTGATAATTAGAGAAAAAGAATACAAGATGTAGAACAAATTATTAAAAAGCAAAGAGTGCCAATACAAGAAATTCTTTCGGGGAACCTGGTTGGCTCCATCAGTTGAGCATGCGACTCTAGATCTTAGGGTGGTGAGTTCAAGCCCCACAATGGATGTAGAGCTTACGTTAAAAAAGAATTCTTTCAGCAATTTGTAAAGATACCATTTACTGAAGCAGTTACTAAGGAAGACAAAGCAAAAGACTGACTCTTAAGAAATGGCAACTTTGAGCATGAAATTAGTAATTTTTGCCATTAAATGGAATATTCGGGATTCTCCTTCCCTCCTACAGATAAAAGGATGATGAGAAAACCTCTAATTACAAATGTTTAGAGTTCCAAATAATAACACAAATCCAGCGACTTTCCCCCCTTTCTTCAAAAAATATAGGTAAGGAATGAGAGCAAGTGATAGAGGCAATAGCATTTCCTTTTCTTTTGTCAAGTGTCTTCTAGTAACTATAAGAGGAAGAGGAGGATTTTATATTCAAGAAAATTTGAAGGAATTTAGATAATGATTGGACCTTCTGATGAATTCACTGAGTCTCTCTCCCCCGCTCCTCCCCCCACACGATTTTTCTTACAATTTTAAAGTACTCAAACAGTCATGACTAAGTAGATATAAGGAACTAGACATGAGGAATAAACATTTAAAAAGATGGAAAGTCTACTAGTGAAATCAGTGAAGAAAGAAGGCTAATAGTTTCTTTGCTTTAAAGGACGAATTAAATGATTGCCTACTTTAAATTTAATGTTTACTTACATGTAAAAAAACCTCAAATATGTTAAATAAATGAGGCAATCTGGGTAAATTTCATTACCTATGAAAAAAGATATAAGAAATTGATATAATACTTCTGCTGTGAAGCAAGGAGGAAACTCACTACTTCATAAATCTGAACTAGGTGTGATAACTCTATTATATGTCACATAACTACTCCCAGCTCACTATTCTCCTTAAAAAATGGAAGTACAGCTTTCTGATGGGCTATAATATCCTTAAGACAACTTACTACTTAGAAATGTAATAGATTTTCATATAAATATGAAAAATTGGATAAATGATGAAAAGGAGTAGATACTTATATAGAACTCACCGGCGTTAGAGTTTCAGGATGGGAAGTCGACTCACTGGGATTACAAAGTGGAAATAAGGCCCCAGATGAATCACCACAAAGCAGTATATCTTGTCCTGAACTCAACTGCTCATTGCACTTTAGAAAATTAAACTCTGTCTTTCCAGTATGGGCAACGCACAAATTGTAGGAATAAGGCAAAGTCCCTTCACTGTAGTTGGGAGGAACCACAGGTCCTGACTTGACACACAGACCAGGCTGAAAGCAGCTCCAGGAGGCCTGGCTGGAGGAGCGTCCCAGGCGCAGGGCAACCGCCAGAATCACCGCGAGGAGGAAGAGCACCGAGATCAAGGCCAAAGCCACCACCAGGTAAAACTGCAGCTCAGCCTGGGGGTCAGAGGGCGCCGGGCGGTCGCTGACATCTGGCAGCACTTCTTGTAGGCTGTCGGCGAAAACCAGGAGCAGCGTGGCTGTGGCCGAGAGGGGCGGCT